AGTAGAACCGCGATCGAGAAAGCGATCCCTGGCGAACCAGGTTCTTTTTTTGCCCATCCCCCTCATAATTCCGTCGTTGGTACCGCGGTCTTGTTACACTGTCGCGAGAATCACACACCGGTTCTTTCGTCGATACCGATCACACACAGAGCCCCCCCCCCTGCCTTCTGGCGACGGTGTTAACCGATACGGACGTGGTGTCGTATAGAGAGAATACATACCTCTCCTCCCGGTCCGTTTAGAAAATCAGCGGCTCTTCTCATTGTCGCACACACGTTCTGAGCGTAAAACTACCGCGCGCGCGCGCAGAGAAAGAAGACGGTTGGTGCGGCGGCGGGACCAACGACGACAGTTAAGAGCGTGGAGAGACCGGTGAGGAGTAGCAAGCGGTAGCAGCACGAAGCAGACATCGAAGGGGCCTCTCTCGATGTCGCGTCGACGACAGGGCCTGCTTGGTATTCCGTTCCCGTCCGGGGGCATAATTGGCCGCCAACTGGCGACGCTCCTCCGGGTATCGCGAAGACAAGAAATTATTCTTTAATTAATTGTCAGCGCTCAATGTGGCCGCATGCGTAGGATCGGTCGGCCTCGTACATAAATTTCATCTATATGGGAGCGGCGAGGCGAGCGCGTGTAAGAGCGGGCTCTCGGGGCATAGAGGGAATCGTCGGTGAAGAAGAGAGAGAGAGAGAGAGAGAGAGAGAGAGAGAGAGAGAGAGAGAGAGAGAGAGAGAGAGAGATAGATAGACGAGGAGAGGAATAAAGAGAGTCGGAGAAGAGCTTCCGATCCGCGGAGGTAGCAAATACCTGGCGCCTGTTTGTAAACCCTTTAACGGTAAATCGTCGCTCTAAAGGGTCCCTTTTGCGCGTTTACTCTCTCTCCCTCTCATTTCTTTGCTTGTGTATCTCTCTTCTCTTCCTCGTTTCCTCTATATTTCTGCTCGATGCTCACGTAGGTGATCGCCAGGCAAGATGGAGTTCCGTATAAAGAGGGGAAAGTCGGTTCGCTGGGCCCAGGTCTCGCAGTTTGTGGCCTCCAGTCACGCCACTGACGAAACTCTATTCGTGGGTAGTTGTCCGTTCAGCCAATCGTCGGTTCGATGGTTCTTTAACCGCGCGAAAATGCGGCGGTGATATTGGAAGACCTGAAAGATTAAGTTCCGTGACTCTTGAGAGGTGGGTCGTAAAATCACGAACAACTTCCGGCGATCCGGCCCGTTTTCTAATAACCTGTGGATATATCAGAAGCTTTTCGGTACCAACAATTAGGCTACTGGTCTCAGACCGATGGGACGACAGTTACGAGCGGCCGATGAGATTCAAAGAAGGCGGCGAGGCGCTTTGATCGGACGTGCCAGTGGAACGGATCCCCCGGCCTTCTCGTTTTAGCCCGAGAACTGGTGGCTAGCTCTCTCCTGTCCGGCTACCCTGTTCTTGCAGATACGGAAGGTGGAACCGCGTAAGAATATACGTGAATCCTTGCATTGGCGTCGGCCTTCCACCTGTTTCGATGGAACCACATTCAGTTCGATCTCTACTTCTGTTGACCACCGTTTCAATTTTCATCGTGGGCCCTCCCTGTTACTATAAAATGTGGAAACAATTCAGCTTCCACAAGTTTAGATACAGCAATTCAGAAATTTTGAAATGCCTTCTATAAGATTACACTCGCCAATTCAGTAGAGTTGATACGGTCTCTTAAATCCTATGCATTTGTACGACACCTTGATTTTGCTATAAAAGATCGATTCGAGAAAAAAAAAAAGTGAAGTAAAGTTGAACACTTTCTGTAAATATCGAAAAGCCAATAACTCAATCATGATGTTTTGACAACAAAAACTTTACACCTCAGAAGCGGTTGACCTTTTGACCTATGTTTACTAAGGTTTTTGTACTTAGTACAGTGTGTTCTATGTACCATATAAATATTGAATGGTTTTTTTTAACACCCTGTATATTTTATAATTAGTTCTCAGGGGCGCTCCGGTTCGATAAATCAGCTCACCGCTCGGGCTTAAGACTTAATTAAAAATTTAGTGAAAAACCAATTAGCGGCTGCGCTGGATTACCATATTTCTAATTATCCGGCCGGACACTTTCGGCCGCCCTATACTGGTACCTCGACTACTTGCCCATATACGACGGGTGGCAGCTTACCTCGCCGATGACTTTGCGATACATTTCGTTTGCCTCGACCAATGAAACTCTTCCTTCTATCTCGTTCTTTTTCTCCAAACCCACCAGTCTTTCGTTCCGTGGGACATAATACGTCTTGGAAGGTAGAGGGATCACGCTCCGCTGAGAAAAGGTCGTTACCCACGAAACACACAGGTCGACCAAGGGATTATTGTTTCCTTTCCTTTTTCATCCCAGAAATCGATTCAGCGATGATGATCGTTCGTAGACGATTCGGGTTCGATGACAGTAAACTTACCTCCTCCTGTCTTCACTTCTCCTGTCGATTCGTGAGTCCTACTTAGATTCATCCAAAAGGGTTCAAAAAAGATTCATCCTTAGTGGATGCATCGCTTGACAGTAGGATTAATGTTATGCCAGTGAAACGAAAAGGATTTCTTTTCCTGTTAAATATGTTCACCAATGTTGCACTGTACCTATGGGAATTCAATTTCTCTGCTAGTAAATCTCGCGTGTGACGTTGATAAAGTTTTCAATCACGAAAAAGGACGTAAAGGCAACTACGAAGAGGGAACTTCCGCGGTGCCTGGTTTCAAGAATCGGTAAACGTGTCGACATAAATACTGAAATCACTTTTATTTCGCTATGGTATACTTCCATGGATAAATTATAATCATGTTACATTTATACAGGGCGTTTAGGTACATCCGGGGGCCCGGTTCGCGTATCACGCGTTTCCTCCCATGGTGGTTGCCTGACGGGGCCACACCATTCCCCGTCGATCGATCGGTGGGTTACACGTATACGTACAGAATTTACATTTCATTTCTTGCCCGCAGGCACGCGTGCGCGCGCGCGTATGTACACGATTTCCTCGACTTTCGTATCGTTTTCCATATATATATAAATATATCTTAAAAATAAAACCACGACCAGCTATGCGACATAGTCGCGTTCACTCCCGAGGACGCGCGAATTTCCGCGTCCAATCGGACCATCTAGACTGCGGTCAAAATAATTCCTCGATGGTCGACAAAACCTTTCATAATAATTTCGTAATCGTGGGTGACGCGTTAAAGACATAAGTTTCAGGGCGCGAGCAAACCGATCAGAATCAAGATCACCGACTCGTTAAGGGGTTACATATATGTATATTGAATTTTTAACGAACAATACTTCTGCATATACAAAGAAATTTTTTAATTTTTTCTCTTATGTAACAGCTCAAAGGTATATACCCCTTAAAGAATGATTTTGGGGGGGGGGGAAGGAGTGAAGGTTGAGCGAGTTGAGGGTAGCGGGTTTTCTAGCGGATCGGTTTCAGAGAAATCATCGGTTATGCAGCGGGGATATTTCTTTCGAGCCAGTCAATTATCTCACCCATAAATTTCCCCGAGGATAAACGAGCCGAACGAGGATCGGGTCAATTGAAATGCCGAGTCGCTCGGGTTGCAACCCGGGGCCGTGCGCGGCCGTTCGAGATCGATCGTCTCTCCCTTTTTCTTCCGCGCCTTTCAGTCGTTTGATTCCTCGGTTTCCCTGGTTTTTGCACGGAAATCGCGAGCCTCCTGTACTACGCGTGTATATACATACGTACACTTCACGGTTTATCGCGGTTAAACGACTATTTACAATATGTACAATACGGTGTTTTTACGCGCCGTTTCTTTTTTCTTTTCCTCTCGTGAGATCAACGCCTTGGGAAATGCTGTCTAAATGCGATCGCTGGATGCCCATGTGCGCGACGTTCCATACCGATCCAGATCCGCCGAGTCGATCCCGATCACGGGACTATCGAATATCGGGCACTGGGCGCTTGGAAATTAAGAACGTTTCGAGTTTTTTAACGAAACACGAAGAAAAGGACGCGCGAGATCGTCCTTTCTTTCTACGCGGATCCCCTTCGTTCGATTGGCGTAACAGATCGCGACGGTAAAAGCCATCGTCGATTCATTGTTTCGCGTGCACTCGAAGAGTCGAATTGTACTCCGTTGCCGCGAGTTTCACGACGTTATTAACACATGGAGTGGCCACGTGAATATTTGAGTCTTTTGTTCGAATTGGATATCGACGACACGATGGAAACGGAATCCCCTTGAAACTCTGACGACGATGGCTTCGATCTTTTAGATTTGAATTCTCCTCTGTGGTGCAATTAGCGTAACTAGATTCGTTTCATCGGATTCGTGGTCTAAATTCTCCGGTTTAGAGTTTACTGGAATCTGGAGTTTTAGCAAGTTCCTCTAAAATCCACCTCAGGCTTTATTTTTCCGATGCCTCGTTCGATAACGAAGGAATATTATTATTTTTTTTAGAAGTTTCAAGTCGAACTAATCCTAGCCACTCTTTTCACGAATCTAACAGATCCTTCCACATTGTGTTTCACTTGGAAAGCTTCCTCTAGTTTTAGGAACTAACTTGCAACCTCGGTTCTTCAAAATTCCTCACAATTCTTCACTTTAGGTCGTCACTTTTCGAATCAAACCGCAGCAAGTCTCATTCCAAACGACTTCAGCATCCCCCTCTCAACCTTATGCAATTGTAAAAATTCTTTCTTCCTTGAATCCCTTCGAAGCTCCAAACTCTCGAGAAGCAATCACCATTCATCTATTTCAAAGCAGAATTCCTCTTCGGACAGAGTTCCATCTTCGTTTCCAACGTATCGTCTTCCAAGCGGTCTTTTCTAGAACGAGATCAGCGTCGCGTAGTCGTCACCCCTCGAGGTCCACTCGATCCTCTTGATCTTCCAAAGCCTCTGGTTATTCAACATCTTCTGGCACTCCGTCGTTTGTGTCGTCGAGACGAGGCAGACCGGCCAGGATACGAGCGACTTGGGCTCGCGCGGCTCCGAGTCGTCTGCCTTATTAAGGCCTGTGTCCAGGGGGCCCCATGAACATGGCTGCCGCGGCCGCGACATGGGTGTGCCTAGCCATGGCCGCCGCGATGAAGGGAGGCACTCCTGGTGTTCCAGGGGGCCCCACTCCAGAGAACATCAGGCCCGAGCCGAAACTCGGGTGCAACAGCGGCCTCGCTGACAGCCTGAGCTTCTCGATTTCCGCCTCTTGCAACCGCTTCGCCTTCGCGCGTCTATTCTGGAACCAGATTTTCACCTGGAACACGAAGAAAATGGATACGGTCAGTTAGACAAAAACGTTACCGAGGATATTTCTCATTTTTGGATTTGAGGAAGATTATTAAAAAAATACCTGCTTTTTTTATACGATCAAATATGAACAACTTCTAGCATAAATTGTATTTATAAATCGATGAGTTGGATATGGCTTTTAGACACTCGGGTCCAAGCGGACCCGGTCACAAAGTGATGGTAGTGCTATTTCCCTGGAAGTATTGGACTTTACAATAAATTATGACATTTTTCCGAATAGTGGATCCACCTATGAAGGCATATTTTACGCGATAAAATAGAAATTGAACATTTTTTTTCATGTCAACGCGCTGAAAGAATCTCGAAAGCAGAGAAGAGTAGTCAGTTCACAACGTGCATAAAACACCATGTTCGCAGTTACGTCCGTACAAACATAAATCCCGGGATCAAATTAACAAGATATTCCGTTTCGTCAGTGGAATCGCATCTTCCACTTCTCCTCCAATATTTATGTCCCCCCGGTCGCCGTCTATCCAATTACATCCGATGGAAATCATTCACGAGCGACGAGGAAAATGCCAGGGATCAGCGGGGGCGGTCGAGCACAGCCGGCTCGATACGGTACCGCGTAATTAAATAATTACGGTATCGATCAGCGATATACGTAAGCGGGATCTAACTAGAGGGTACCAGCGAGTAGAAAAGATGCCGGTCACGGTGCCGGCATGAACGGCCGTTTAGCGCGTAATTAGCCGCCTCAAATTGGTGAAAGCCAAGTGATATCGGCTCCGTTCGTGCCTGGTGGAATTCGCCGCTTGGAAACATGGCTCACGCGGAAAAATATGTGCGGCGCGTCTCGAATTTTGCTGGATCTCGACGTTCCGCGCCGGTTCGGTAAACCTTCCATCGCCATAATTGTATTTGCACAGTCGCCGGACAATTCTTTCTCTGTTTGGTCAGACGCCGAATCACGACACGCGTTCCTCGAGAGATTTGGATGAGCGAGGGTCCACGATCCTTAAAGTTTTCCTATTCGAGTAATCGTTGAAGGGCCTCGATCCTCGAGAATTTCCCCCGTTCGAGTAATCGTTGGAGCGGCACGAGATTTCCATCGGACAATCGTTCCCCGGAAAATTTTCTGCTCGCACTAAGAGCGGTGCACGATTAACGAGATCGAGAAACAGCGAATTAATGGCCGCTTCCGAGGTTCGCTGGTGCCGCGGCTAATTAGATCGGGTTGTTTCGTTCGGAGCGGCCGTTTCGGATTGGTTGTCACGAGCAATTATATTCGTTAATATTCAACACCGAATGCAACAACAGAAGTTCTCGGATGGAAGTTTTATGAATGATGCAACGATTACGAATCAAAGGGGCGCGAGGGGTGTTTCAGGAACTTTTGATCAACGTGTAGGCGTAATAATGGACCTAAAGATTTTGTAGTATAGATCGAAATGAAGATTTAATATACTCCTCTACATAAACTATTAAAAATTGTTTCTTATGTCAGTAGTGCCCAGAAAATACGTTATGAAGTGCTCTATAGGTTGCTTTAATAGCGATTGGGTTATCCAGTGATTTCTTCGGTAAATGCAACTTCAGAACTCAGTGTCTCAGCAAATTGAATTATTCAGAAGATTTTCAAGTTACACAAACACCAGCCATTCGAATTTTAGTTCTTCATTCAGGAGTGTATACGATCTCGATGAAAGCGTTACTATCGGAAAGACTCCTCATATATGCGTACTGACAACAAGTTGCTCATTGCTATCACACAGTCCTCCATTCCAGGCATTATTTTTATCGTAATGCACGCAGGCTCCGCGTGAATTAGCATTAAGCGAAGGGCCGCTGTAGCACGCGTAATGAGTTCAAGGAGCCGTAATCTGATCGCTAAAATCGGTATAACGTTGCACTTGGCAAGGGTAAATAAAAGTGCAGATGCGGGAATAAGAGAAGAAAAACGATATAAATCGCGGGCTCCTTAATAAATCAGACCTGTTGTCGGGAAACGTAAGTATGCACGTACGTACATACATACATACATACATACATGCGTACGTGACGCCTAGGCGGGAAGATACTCGTCGCTTAGAAAGTTAGAAATCTCGCGTCGCGTGACAATGCGCAATCAAATCGTACCTGGCCTCTCCCGTAGGTAAGACATATTGCGATATTCCGCGAGGGGTTTTTCTTGGCCAGCTACGACTTCCGGTTTTTCACGGTCGTAGGCTAAACGCGTTGCCACGTTCCCTGAGTAATTTTCCAGGGACGCGACTGGTAAACACAACTTGGTGGACCGTCATTCGATAGTATTAAGTTTCGAGTGAATTATCAAAATAGTATTAGGTTCTTGGATGGCCGTTTGGCAACTATACGTTGCTCGATAGACCTTAGAATAAAGTCTGTTTGGTTGATGATTCGAATGTGTGTACTTTATAATGAGTACTAGATTTTTATATGCACCTCATTATTATCAATGTTCCACAGATTGTGTAGGTACATACTGTTTTATTTCCCTTTAGTTTTTGCGATGCGATTACTTAACGAGTGTCTAAGATACACTTTTTTTTCGTAACCTATTACTGCTTCACGAGATATCATCTGATAATTGCAGAGTAAAACTCACGTAAAGACACTACTAGCTGTAGAATTATTGCGATCGAGAGTATCTTCATTAATAGAGTAATTTAGTTTTTATAGAGATTATTCTCTCACATCTTCTGATCTCGTACAAATCGTTCCAGAATATATTCCAACCGAGTATACCCAATTAGAAGCTAAAGAGATTATCATTTCCAAGACCCTCTTATCTTCGCTGTACAATTTAAAATTGATAAGTGCATGATTTATATTTCATACGCATCTTGGACTTCAATTAGAAACTCATTTCTCTTCTCCGAACGATGGGCGGAGGAATTAAAGTGAAATTTTTCTGAAGATGGAGAGGATCGATCTACGGGGCTCGCGAAGGCATTTCCACGAACGGCGCAATTGCATTCTAACGGCGTGAATATCGCTAGCCTAAATCGCGAACATACCTCTTCGTCGCCGGTGAATAATGAAAGGAGAGAGGGAACTGGGTGTTTCGGAAGGGCGGCGAGGACAGGACGGCGGGGAGGAGAGGATGGCGGGGACGATCGTAGCTTATCTAAGCAAATGAATACGACGAAGCTTCATTTCGTCTGATGCATTGTAATGAATGCGCAAAGTGTATCCGAACACGCTAACCGCACGATAATAGCCGCATCGCGACGGTCTTTTTGGCTATTACACGTGTCAGGGTACAACGTATGCCTAGCCTCGTTAGGAACCAACTGTGTGTCGGTTTTATTGCGAGTATACACCCCCTTCGAGTGAATTTTCTTTCGGTAATATTCGAAAAGAGAGTGGTTATGTCAATTCTTTACGATTTTATGATAAATCATTAATCTTAGGCTCAAACATTGTTGTCGAAAGGGAAGAATGGAATTTACTGTTCAATAATTCCTAGAAATAACTGAGAATATAATAAAGTTGTGATTTTTATGTTGTGTATGAGCAGAAGAGGGTTGGCATTTGTATCAAAAGTTTGAAGTAGATTCAGAATGTTACGGCCAGACGCATAGCCTATTTTCTGTAGTCTTCTAGGATTTCAAGAGACATTTCTCCACTTGAACAAAATATTGGATCATTACAAAGTACAATATCTTCAATGTTTTTTCATTTCCAGATATTATGTTATTTCAGTTTATTATAGAATAACTGAAGGTACTATACATGTACCCGTGTAAATGAGCGTCCGTCGATCATCTCTCGCGATACGAACATTAAACATAATATCATTTCATTACAGTCAATTTAATTAACGTCAATCATGCTAATTGCGTGCCGCTCTGCGGAAAGGCGTGTAATTAGCCGCATCAATGCGATATATCTGATGCGAGGAGCAGACGGGAATTCGCTCGTTTCCGAACTGCGTCCCGCCGGGCAATTATAAAATACAGACGGGGGATGAAAAAAGAAACACACCATTTTATGGGACCACCCGTCCGAAAGACATGCCCAGACGATAATGGCCAATCGGTGGTTTCAAGAACGAACTCTGTGGAAATAGACGTTGTTTATGTATACCGAAGTGTGTGCTTCGAAAGTTGGCAGCAGTTTCGAAAGGATTATGAAGCTGTTAAACGAATCATGTACGCTTTCTGGGACAATTGGGTATTAATTGTATTTCCTTGTAATGGAGAGGATTGAGTCGAGTATCGGAAATTCTTCACACGTACAGTGTAATAAGTTATAAATTGTTACAATGGTACAAATTTACAGATACTGAGTTAACTACAATTTGTTGACAGTTATCCACACGTCGAAAGAATGTTGACAGTGCAAATATACTTAATGGATGGTCATTAACTACTCGGTAATAACGACGGAGCATTAAATAAAGTAACACTTTATACGTTGCGGATGGTAGTCAGTACGTGCAATGTCCATTAGTAAATTATTTCGAAAACATTCTGAGCAAACAATTTGGATGCAGAGTATACCCCATTTTCAATTTCGTTCTCTTAAAAAAATAAATTTACAGTAAATAAAATTGTCCAAGTACTTTTCGTCGCCACATTATATATCGAAAAGATCTGTAAAGAGCAAAAGGAGAGACGGAATGCGCTTTTCCAACGGATACATCTGCATGAACAAGTCTGCGCGAGACAGTCCGCTTATGGTTAATCGTAATTGATAATTGGCCAGAGCTTAATGGCCGCTCCCCGTACGAGTCTCACCTGCGTTTCCGTGAGGTGAAGGGAGGACGAGAACTCCGCTCTTTCGGCGATGGTCAGGTACTGCTTTTCGCGGAACTTTTTCTCGAGGGAGAGCAGCTGTTGCGTGGTGAACGGCGTCCTCGGCTTTCGGTTCGGCTTGTGCTTCCTTAGGGTGCACCTGACGGGCCCTGGTCCTGGACCGGGCAGCCTCAAGTCACCTGTAATCAATCCGAAAAACTGCGGATTAGTTCGCGAATACAGGATCGGTAGGGATTCTAGGTGAAACCTCGTAAATTAGGAAATGAAGACTTTTTTCAGGATAAATCTGTCTTTCAGATTCTAAGAAATTTGATTTTGCCTAAGAAGAATTATCAATCGATTCTAAAAATTCCAAGTTATTGGCCACCAAAGAATTTTAAAGCAAAAAACTTCCAGAAATTAAAATCCTACCAAAATTGATGAATATAACAATTTAAAAAATGCTGGAAGCAATTGAGTAATAGGGATTGAAGGTTTTGAAAGAGCAATAAAACACAATGTAACTGTGTTAAAATGTTATAACAACCGTAGATCCACCTCTACTCCAGGCGCAAAGATCGTCTATTTCTGTTCATGTCCCCTTTATCATCAATATTTATGAGAAAGTAGATCGATTTGTGCGAAGAGGACTTCGTCATTTAAACGTTAAAGACAGCTTCATGTTTCTCAGCGATAGTTTGCGCTAATTCACGGAAGATTAACGACATTGAATCGTTACAAAATCACTCAGAAGCGGTGTGTGTAAAGGCCAGAAAACGGAACATTCGTTTAATCGCGGAAACAGCATAATAAAATATTCCTCGAGCGTTTCGTTACCGCGTGGCGCACACGTGGTCGTGAATTCAACACCGTGTAACGGCTACAATGTAACCGATCGAATTCCTCGTTAGACGATCGGTCGGTGTACAACCGTGGTAATTAACGTCGCAGCGATTACGTTACGAAGGTGGGATTAAGATATCGGCCGGCGAATTATTTTCTCCTACCGGTGCCATAACCTGCATAATTATGGGACTTGGCTATCGTCGCGTTGATAAATCGCTCAATTTCGCCGCCAGCTGCGAGTGGAACGAGGAGAGAAAAAGAGAGAAATTTCCAATTGCACACGGTGTTTCTCTTTTCGTGTACGTATCGCGCGCGTCCCGGGTGCCCGATAAAATGTGTTTACAGATGTTTATGCTTGCTTATTTAACGTCTATTTATGCACGACGAACGAGAAACAATCGCTCGTTTTTTCGTTTCACGGCGAACCGGGAATTAAAAATACGGTACCTACGGTTAATGGAAAAAAAAACGAAGAGGAGGAGTGGCTTTCGGATATCGTTATCGTTAATTATGTCACGAAACACACCGATAGGCATAAACCGTCGTCCCTCCTCCCCACCTCCCTAACCCCGTCCGAATATATCCGATAGCGGAGGCACCAACTTCGTAATATTAATCATGTTTGCGCAGATTTGTTCGAATGGCGCAAAATTATCGGCTCGTTATTTCCGTGCACGCATTGCATAATAATTATCTGCGGCACCGCGATAACGTCCGCCGGCCGGCCGTTAATTAACGCGACGCGGACGGGATCGATCGCGAAAGCACGCTTTCATCCCTCTCGATATTCGACAGACTTTTACTACCACCACCATCCACCCCACCCACCCGACCGATAGGAGCTGGAAATTAATATCGTAGATAGAATTCACGAATGAATTCCCCTGAATCTAACCGTCACACTCAACCGATTGTTACAGATATTTATCTCTGCAAGAAAATTGGCCATTTAAACGTATCGAACGAGAATTTCAGTGCATAGAAAAATCGAGAAAAATGCAGTATAACCTATTTGGATTAAGAAAAATTTGCTATAGAAATTTGGAACATTCGGCACTTTCAGTTAAATAAATCGGAATGGTCGGTATTAACGTAGAAAATACTGAAAGGTAAAATACCATTTGGAATTACGTGTGGAACGTTCCGATCGAAGGATAAAGTGGAATGCATTAAACTTCTCCATGACCAAATACAGCGAGACATTCTGCATCTTCGAATTAGCTGTTCGATCGAACGGCGAGGTTTCCAACAAATTCGTCTCTAGCTCGACACGAGCCACCTGCGTAGCGACGACGACGTCCGCTTTCGTTATTCCCGCAAGAAACACGGACTCGCCGTGATAGTATACGAAAAACGCGATCCAGCGCGAAAACCGAGCCTCGGTTTCTGTGCGTTAACGATCAATGCTCCCCGACAGTGTCTACATAAATTATTCGCTCGTCGATCGCACACGCTGGTTTCACCGCAATCACCGCCTGTTAATTCCCAATTTATACAGTCGGTTCTCGTGTACCGCGCTGCGACCAATGTTGGAGGGGGGATTGGAGCGAGCGGTGAAATTGAATCGTAAAAAATAAATTGTCTCCGCCGGTTATGCGACCGTTTAATTCTCCGACGATAATTATCGTCGTGTCGATGGCCGACGATTGACTCGTACCCCGCGTAATTAGCCAATTTCGTCTCTTTCCTGGTAGTGGGCGCCCCCTTTTTTCTTTTCTCAACGAACGTGCTCTACCTGAAAATTACGCATCGTTTCTTTTGGATCGCTTTTTGAATTTGGATAACCCTACAGTTTCTCATACGTCGATATCGATATGCGATCGAAAAATGGCACATCGGAGCCGTTAAACGAGTTAATTCCACCCGTCTCCGCGCTACGATCAATCAACCATCATTTCCCTCATTAACAAGAACCAGAGTCCTGGACACGTACGCACCAACAAAGATCGACCCGTGCCCATTAGAAAGTCCCTCGAGCCAATCAATGTTTACGACGCCGTTTTCGGTGTCCCGTTCGCCGGTAATTGCGATTTCCGTGGGGAGAAAATTCGCGGGGCCAACGTTCCTGCCCTCCCACATGGCAAAAAAAAGGGGGAGGGGGCATCAATCGGTTAACCGTCGTTAATCGTCGATCGGTGTGTCCAGGGCGCAATCGGTAGAGTACCCATCGGAACCAGAACTGTTCGACCGATGGCAAAAACTGTTCGGATCGTTCGCTCGAGTCGAAAGGATGACGATTTCGCGGCAACCGCGGGGGCAACGGCGAATTCCCCGCGCTAATTAACGATCGGCCGACGTACAAAAAACGGGGCACCGGTTGGCGGCATTGTCGAGCGGATCTGTCGCGACATCGGTATCACGTCTTTCCATTCAGAAGACCGGTGTGTTCCCCTCCCCTCTCGTTTTCGCTCGGTATCGACTGGGTCGGTTGGCTAGTCTGTTCACATAACCGATCAATATGTTCCTCTTAGACGCTAATTAATTTCTGCTAATTAAACGTTCGCTCGGGATTGCCCGTGGAAATATATCTTGCGCAGGGCCGTAGGTTTCTGCGTTAGCGCGTGTACAAAGCACCTGCGCAGGACACAGTGTGTATGTGTGTGTGTGTCTAACACGCGCCGGAAGTTTTGTTCCCTTTCGTATTCGACCGGGCCCCCGATGCATTGTTTCTGACCCGGCGGTCCTATATACGCGGAAGTCTGAGTACTGGATGTGTCTCGAGCTTTTAACGAAGGGACCCGTCGGCTGATCTGGAACGGAGATTTAGGCGTACCGAGGAGGATATTTATTTAATAAGAATTGATAATGCGCGTTTATCGCAGCTGGCGGGTGACAACTATCCGCTTGACGTAACGAATACAAATTCTGGTAATTGACTGCGATACGAACGGGTGAATTCATCTATGTCTGTCTATTGGCCACTGTTTCTACTTGCAGCGAAATGTTATAAGTAGAAATAACTAGTAACGAACGGACACGTTAGTATAGCGACACACATTCGTTCACATAATTTCGTAACAGTAATTAATTGTAACGATTTTTATGCAAATTACTTTTGTTATTATTTTCTGATAAGTTTTTCGTAATTTTCAAATGAAATTCGCAGGTTGGTACGTAATTCAGTCAAATTAATGTGACAGTCTTTCGTGAATAAATTTGCGAGTCACTGTAAGTGATATATAGAGGACGGATTTTGTGCATTTCTTTTGTGCGTCTCCCCAATGCAATTTTTTAAAAAAATTGTCTTCTACCACACTTTTAATCTTTCACACCACTTTATCGCATCGATCGAAATGCTAGCGAATCTATGCCGCCACATAATTTATAAACAATTCACTCTCATAAGATGACACTGAAGCTCCCAAGACAACATGAAGATAAGAGGACGGTAAATAAATAGCGTTTCTTCCACGCAAACTCGCTGAAACACGAGCTGTTTTAAGGCCGATTCGCGTCGAAATCACCGCAAGTAGGCCGCGAGCGGGGGGAAAAACTCGTCCGAATACATCGAAAGAGACTCTCGAGAAGCAAAATGATATCGGGCGTTACGAATCAGGTTGCGCGCCAAAGATAAATCGTAATCGTCGGTAATTAATTGTAGAAAGCGCGGAAGCCTCAGTGATCGCTGTGTTCGGGTACAAGTTAATCAACGCTTAAAATGTTTAATGAAGCCGTCTACCTACACGGTCCTCGTCTGGTTTGTCGTCGTAAACAGACCGCTCCAAGATATCTTTGTCCACGGGGTTGGAATCACGCGTGAGCAAGAATCATCGTCGCAGGCACTCGCGTTAGGATCAATGGAACTCGCACGTATATAAATACTATGTACGTGTGTACACGCGTGCGTCTGCAGACGTATCGATCATAAATCATGGGAACATTTAATTAGCGGGGAATTAATTGGCGTTCATAAGAAGCACACCGCGGCCGGGGCCGGTTATTAGTGAGATATCGCGGCTGGCCGCGGCGATATAACGCGAATTGTCCGCGCGTCGATATCGCAGCGAGAAACCGAAAGACGAAACCCGTTTCATCCACGGCTATTTTATACTCACGAGATGAATTTATGGGAACGACTACGGATGGGAATTCGTCGTGCTTTTCCCGAACAGATACAACAGGGTGTTAAATATGTAGGTAGGGAGGGCCCTGTGTATACGAATGGATCGCGACAAATCAGCAATTAATAACAAGACAATTTTTCTCCTCCTGTTGTGTCGATACGCGTGTTATCTCTGAGAAAAACCGAACAGATCTCGGTGCCCGTGGGTACTTTTCCACCGAATAACTCTCAGATTCTGCTGTTAATTAACGAGCAAACCGCGGCGATTTTATGGGCATTTGATTTCACTCG